TTAGATATCAAGTACATTTCATTCAAGTTATTACTTCTAAAGGCTTTCCGTTTTTCTTTTATAAGATCTTTCAGTTCTTTCGTTACCCATGGCTTATTATTTGGATAGTACGTAAGGGTTTTATAAATAGTAACAGTTTCTTCACAAAACTTAATGTAAGCACAAATGGTTTCATACTAAGATACAGTATAATCCGCTTATATCGACGTGCTTTGGAAGGTAGGTTTGATATCAATGCATAAAAATGTCGATAAATGATAATATAAAGCCAAAGAGGACAAAATAAGGGGAGGTCAGCAGTAAAAGATAAAACACCTTTTTTATGCTGGTTGCTTCCCTTGATTCTTTAAACAAACGAGAGTCAGAGAGGAAAGGGGGGGAGGGGGGTGGAGTTAAGGTACCAAAGACCCTGCAGCGCGAGCCGCACACTACACACCAGCGCAAACTTTGTTGTGGCATCCTTGTAAGGCTTGTTTATGGACCCTTTCTGGGGAAAATGGAAAGGCGAGGCGCTGACTTGCTGACCGTGGCACTTGCCAGCGACAGACTGAGAATGGGATGGGGAAGGGGAGTGAGCTGGGAGTGAGCGATCGGGAGTAGGGGTAGGGAGGGGATGCCCAGCGTGCGAGACGCCCAGGTCTGTGAGGCATTTTACTGTGTTGGAGACTACACTGTGTAGTGAAATGGTGAAATGGTATGGGTTTAACGCCCCTATCAACACTATTAGGTTATTTAAGGGGCGGGGCCTCCTAGTTTAACGTCCGTCTCCGATAGGACAGAGCCAAGAGGGAAGTTTGTGTAAAGTGCCTTTCCCAAGGACCAAATGTCAGACCCAGTTGAGGCTTAAACCCCCGAACCCACACTGTGTAGGCCCTAAATGACCTACTGAAGCCTGGTGTGTCGATATGGGCTACTTGGCGGGTATGTGGACTTATTAAAGAACTAATGCGTTGACCATAAGCGTGCCCCCCCTCCCCCTTTATGTCCGTGGGCTTCAACAGGTCCCCAGGAAGCATGTCGATGAAGCAGAGTGGGCCGAAAAAAAGTCGATATAAGAGAAATTTTTAATAAAGATATTGAAGGGAATAATTCGTAATTGGAAAATATGTCGATATGTCAAAATGTTTATAAATAAGACGTCGATATTAGTGGAGTATTATATAGTATATCTATCTACCTTGCAGGAGAGAACCTTCACGGTTTGCTACAGTGTCATTTATGGGAACTACGACCGCTACTCCATGCTACTTCAGTCCATAACCTACAATCGCATGATGGGAGCAGAACATTTCTTTCTCTACAACCAGACCATGGGGCCCAGGGCGGACGCAGTCGTCAGGCACTTCCAGGACTTGGGGATAATGACAGTTCTCAGCATGCCGGAATTCCCAGCCAATGAAGCTTGGTATCACAGTCAAATAATGGCAATAAACGACTGTATCTATCGGAACCGAAACATTTCGCAGTTTGTCGCGGTAGTCGATCCCGACGAATTTATCATGCCCGTTCAACATCACTCGTGGGGAGAAGTGCTTAAAGCAGTAACCGACAGAGAGATCAAGGAAAAGCGAGGCGAGAATGTCGGTGTGTTTGCTTTCGAGCACTCGATGTTTTGCAACAATAGACTAAACAACACAGAATGGGCGACGTTCAAGAAAAACTTTCAACTCAGCGATGAAGAAGGAAAATTCATAGAGAGAAACGATATAACTACCTTGCTTGAATTGCGTCGGAGTAATCTGGTGCGCTTTCCCGTGAGATCTAAGTGTATATATCGGCCTGAGGTTACTAGACAGCCAGGGATACATTATGTCAGGAGCCTGTGGTCAGGTTATCGTAATGTTGTGGTCAACAGCAGTTTGGGAATCATTGGTCACTATAAAAACAGAAAAGGGGACTGTTTTCTTGACCATAAAATAATCTGGTTTTACAAAAAATACTTAAAAGCGCTGAAGTCATCCTATGCTAACGTTCAGGCATATCTTTTAAACAGGAGCATTTCCACAACCAATTTTCAAATATACTCAAACCCAGAGGCAAAACAACGACCAATAACTAAAGCATGAATGAAGCACGCGACTCTCAACTAGAGGTTGTCTTGTGCAAATGAAATTTTAATTCGTCCAATTTACACAGACAGGAGAGTGTCAATATGTGGGTGTTTTTGTGTAGTTTTAGCCTCACTCTGTTATTTCTGTGACCTTGACCTTGAGACAGAAAGTCGGGACCGTGTGTGACCTCCTTTGGCTGCAAAAACTGCTCTTCGTCTTCAATCCACAGAGTACACGACAGCGTCATTTGCCGACCTGAGATCTGTACCCACATCTAGCCGGTGGCTGAAGCCGATTTAGAAGCCGTCCGTGGTCGTAGTTGCAGCTGGTTGAGCTGCCTCGGGATAGCGTCCCAAACGTGCTCGGTGGAGTTTGCGTCGGATGAACGAGCCGGATATGGCAAACGACTGATGTTGATCTGCTCCAGGAACTGCTGTGTTACACAGGCAGTATGAAGTCTCGCCTTGTCTTGCTACACTGGCTGTATGAAGTCTCGCCTTGTCTTGTTGGAAAAATGTGGATACCTCTAAAAAAAAAAAAAAAAGGCCACCGAAGAGCTTGGTCAATGTTGCACCGAGTTGTGCTACCCCTTCGTTGTCCTTTTTCTACTTTCTGGAAAAACACTGCTCTAGATCTTGGATTTAAGGTGATGATGTTTGCCCCTCCCCAGGGTTCTCTCTCCACAACCTTGGCTTCAGCGTAGTACATCAGGTCTGTGAACCTCATACGAATGGACCCATTTGCAGGATCTACGCAGAACCTGCTTTTGTCAGTAAACAGCACCCTTCTCCATTGTCTGTTCCTCTAGCTCATGAGAGCCTGTGCTCACAGAAACCCGTAACGGTGGTTCTGATGGTTCAGAACTGGCCTGTCATACGACTGCCGTCTCCTTTTTTCTGTTTCTTTTATTGGAGGGTTTTACGGCGCTCTCAGCTGCATAAGGTCATATGAGCGCCAAGGGATGGGTGTCAACTGAGAAGTCTTTACAGGGAATCAGACTTACACTGCTCATCTCTCTAGCTTCTACGGCACAAGGTCTGCTTCGACTATCAAGGCACCCCGGAAATAGCAAGTGACAGGAGTGTGACAGTAGAGGAAAATGACAATAGCATGGATTAGGGAAGAAAAAGCAGCAGTTCTCTGTTGTAGATCAGGCTCAATTATGAGTGTGACATGATGAATCAGTCCATTTACAATTCTACTGCGCTTGAACGAGAAATGCCCCCCCCCCCCCTTTGGGAATGGCCTAAAGACACTACTGTCAGTGGCACTGTCCCGGGAGGTCGACCGTCTCCGCCGTACGGTTCTTGTTGCCACGGCCCGTCCCGTTTGCCCAATGGTGTTCCTGGGGGGTCTCACCGGCTGTCAGAAATGGGTTCATCCGGTATTGATACTCCATGAGGAAATCCTGAGCTGCAGTTGTCGCTCTTGGTCTTCAGGCTCGGGGGGGGGGATCACTGGTTGAGTAGGTGGCACAAAACTGGTTCTGTCGTCTGTCGATCGTGGAGACATGCTAGTCTTTAATAAAGGCCACATGTTGAGCAGACTTGCCAGCCCGTAGTCGTTCTATTGCCTCCTTACAGCTTACAGATGAGAGTCTCGGCATCTTGATACTGCTTTTATTTCCATCTGACTTCAACATTAATTTTTAGGCTTCAAGTCTAAAGAGGAGTGAGTACGATGAAATGTTCGCGTTTCTTTGTCCTTTAAGTTCCAGATGACAAGAAAAAAGTTCGTCCAAAAGAAAGCCGATAAAATCGTAATGAATACAGTTACAAACACCAAAGTTTGTAGAAACGTGGTACATCCATTTGGATTTATTATGTATTGATAACAATAAAATATGACAGGTTAAATATGACAGCTACAAAATTATAGAATATCTTCCAGATACCTCCAATTTCGAGTACAACGCATTCTGACTGGCGGAGTGAAATTGACGAGCAGGCACTGGCACTGCTCGAGAGAACTCTCTTTCATGCTCTCTTTGCGGGTGTCTCTCAAGTCTTTTAAATTTCATAATATTCTCCCAGACACCTTGCCCTTCAAACTCTCCCAATATTAAAAGTCAAATGGGCCCAGGTTCGGATCGTTTGGGGTCCAGTTGTGCTCAGTCGGACTGACTGTCCTGTAACCAAAATTGGGGTTGCTAATCCATCGCAGAACAGCTATGGCGTCTTGAGGAGCAGCCCTTCCTTGCATGAAGTTCTGGTTTTGTCTTCCTTTATCATCAACTCTTATAATAGCCCCCAAGCTTCTCCGGAATTTTGGTAGGATGACGAGGTATTGGTCGGAGTTTGCTCTATCACAGACGACCATAACCTTTCCAAGAGTGCGTTATTTTTAAAAGACGCCTTCCGTGCGTTACTCGTGGCTTAGAATTCGAACTTTTATTCTTATCTCCATGAACCATAGATGTACACTATTGTACTAGATACAGTACGCCCCTCTCTCGCCTTGCTGCGCGATGGCCACATTTGACAGCGGCGTCCGCCATGTTTTTTGTGGCAAGTTGTGTGAAGGAGTTCATGCTAAAGCAATGGGCTAGGCATATTTTCTCTCTCCCTCT